ATCCTAAATTTCTTGTGATAAGATATGCATTAATAATGGCGGTGTCTAGCAGCCAAAAAAAAAGTGGCATCCAATTTTGCCGCATAGTTTGTTGGGTGTCATAGTAGGATCGTAATTGGTCAGCGATATCCACACCATTCATATGGTGGTTGTAGTTGTCAATTATCTTCGGTATTTTTAATTTTTTTTTTGGATCAGATCCAAAAACTGCACGTACCTTCGTCGCATTGGTACTTGTCTCTCTTGGTCTTCATCTTTCCCGTTCTATTCCCACTCTTCACCCACAAGACCGTGTATTGTTGACAGCATCGTAACTGGCCCATTGTCTTGCCAGAAAATTGCCAACACGCCATCAACTTCAATACCTGAACGAATATCCCAATTAAATTTAATATCTTTATCGACTTTTAATTTCTTTGGAAATCCGGATGCTGTTTTTCGGACAGTTCTGCAAGCCCCAACTCCCATTTATCGAAGTTGTTGAAAAAGAGGAACATTACTAAAGTAATTATCCATATATATATCGTAGGGAACCGCAAGTATGGAAGTTGCCTAACAAGATGAAGAACCAAAGAACCGGTTTGATTAAGACCATCCACGTTTGTCACATCATTTGGTGAAACACGTGATGTTGGTAAAAAAGTGTAGGTGTATCCAGCTTCGCATAGTGAAAAAATCTTAAAACCCTCTGGAATGGGCTTACTTTTCATTCAGACCGTGTGGACACTTCTTCCTGAAAATCTGATCATCATTTCGTCCACTGAAACGGTTGAACTCAGGATGTAATATTGTTTTGAGGCATCACGAACGCTTGAAAGTAATGGTTTCAATTTTTCAAAGTAATGTTTAAGCGTTGATACATGGGCGGGGGAGAAATGTGCAGAAACCTTTTGATCAACTCGAAGCGCTTCAATGATATTTGTTTTGATATATGGTGGACAGGGAGTTTTGGGTCCTCATTCCAGTACTGGTCGAGGGACGGAAGCTTAAAAAGTCCCTGATAAACCACAAGGGCAACCCACACAAAAACTCTTTACGGGTCAAGTTTTCCCAGCGTCTACCAATAGTTCCAGCACCTTTCACTAATGCATATGCATTTGTATTTGTAATAATCGTATCAAACATAGAAATTGTAAAGAAAAAAAAAAAAAATCAATCGGCCTGGAAACACCTTGCAGTGTGGAAAGACTATCGAGAAGCATGCCGGTGGTGTGCTTGGCTGGCAAGCACTAATCAATTGGATATGGATCGCAAAACGCCAAATACAAGTAAGGTTTGGTGTTTGTCATGTAATGTGCCGCTCTGTTGTAACAGCAGTCGAAATTGTTTTCTTGGCTTTCACCTCGAAAACAAGGAATCATTGAGTGAATAAAACAATGGTTTGATGGGCGGGTGGGTGGGCGAAGTGGTCCCATGGACCAAAAATGATGAATGAAAAAATTTAAATAAAATTAAAAAATTTTTTTAAAAAAAAAATTTTTTTATTTTAATAGTGTGCCAATTTTATTTTATTACTAAAATATTTAATTTATCAATTTATTGATCAATTTAATAATGGTATTGAAGCTAATATCACACAAATTAATTTTCTAAAATTTAAAACTCAAAAACATTAAATTTTGACCCGCAAAATATCAACTGACTGATAACCCTAAAATTTCGATTCGATGCTATTGGAATTCTAGTTTTAAATAAAAAATTTTACAATTAATAGCTGCATTATTAACTTCGATTAAAAATGTAGGGGTCAAATCTGCCTAGAAAACCTGAAAATTTAGGTTCACATAAAATTATTTACAATTTTGAAAACACAAAATCAAGTTGCACAAACTACGCAATATTTGGTTTGTTTCATGGCACGTGCAATACTAAAATCGGGTTACCGTCACGTAATCTGAGTTCCCAAGAATCGTTCTAGCCGATTTGAGCAAAGATTTTCATAAAATTTTTTTTACTCACATTAAAATTTTTTTTACCAATTTTAGCGAACAAATTTGTCCGCTAAAATGGACGGTTTAAGGGATAAGCTAAAAATAAATAATTTTAAAGAAATTTTTTAACTAAAAAATAATTTACAATTTCTTAATAAACTCTTTAAATAAAAGAGATAACAAAATTTTTTCTTTATTTAAAAAAAAATTTTAAAAAATCAACTATTTTTTTTTTTTTAAATTGCTTATATGCTGCAAATATTTATTAATTAATGTCGGGGATGATGCTGAAATCGGATGATGCTGAAATCCACGTGACATCCGTATTAGCGAATTTCCTAAAATTTCTGAATCTCGTGTAACCAATCGAATGATCCACACTAACAGCGCAATACTGTATTTTTAGTAGTAAAAAGGTAGTTTCATAGACTGCATTATCATTTCGAATATTGTGTAACATCAACGATTTTATTGTAATAAAAAAAAGGTTAAAATAAACCTTCGCTCTTACTATCCTAGTCTATCCTCCTATTCTATCCTATTCTATCCTATTCTAATTGTGACTCCGAACTAACATTTTCTATTCGATCTTCAAATTTAAAAAAAAAAAACAATTTTTTTTAAAAATAAACGATTAAAAAAAAAAAACGATTAAAAAAAAAAAACGATTAAAAAAAAAAAATTTTTAAAAAAAAAAAAAATTTAAAAAAAAAAAAAAATTTTTTAAAAAAAAAAAAAAAATTTAAAAAAAAAAAAAAAATTTAAAAAAATTTTTTTAAAAAAAAAAAATCGATTACGATTTCTTTTTTATAGCCTGAACCCGTTTAACTGGAACTCGAATGTCTTCACCATTCACCTCA